GAGGGGTCTGTCGAAAGGTTACTGTACCTGGCAGTTGAGATCGGAACTCAATGAGTAATGTTTTAATTCATCTAAAATAGACTTAAGTTTCTAATCAAACGACGGAAAATATTTAACTAACGTAACTTCTTTTGTTAAATTGGCTTCTAAACCTTGGCGTTGTAATTCAATTTTTTTAATTTAGAATTTAGATAGATTTCTTGAAATATCAATACGAGAAACATTTAATCTTGAATAACATTTATCTACCACATGGATAATACTTTCCCGATTTTAATATATTTCTGAACGTTAAATATTAAATTCTGACTGGGAAGCAGTGTCAAATAAATAACTCAAAGTTTTGCCTACAATTGGTAAAATTGGGCTAAATCTATTTGTTAAGGCCATCTCCATTTTCGTCAAGGTCGCTGAGATGTAATAAAGGTCAGGGCACGTGATTGTAGGTTTAAGAAATTGTAGGTCAGGTTTACTAATTTGGGGGAGAGGGTTAAATCTCCACATAAGCACTGACTTAGGATGATGTAATATAGTTCGTGTTTTATAAAAAATAATACACTACATTAGTAATAGATATATGTACGGACGGTATTCATTGGATGGTGCTTGTGGTAGTCTGGCATTTTTATTTTTGAAGACAAAAGAATAAATTTGAGGCTCTCGGGTGAGAGCCACATTAGTGTTTTTCCTACGAACAATTGGATTTTCTAAATATGTGTTTGTTCCTCTATCACCGGGTTAGGGATTCTTATATCCAGTTGAGTTTATTTACTAAGGACTAGGGTTTGATATATTGTTTGTTGTGGGTGAGGATTGGTCTTATATAGTCTAATTTACTGTGCACTAAGATGCTGTCAGTTTGTATTCACTTGTTTTTGTGCTAAGTTTTGTACGTAATGTCTGAATATTGTGAATATCTTGCAAACGATTAGCAAATAAACTAGAATGGTCCATGTTGGTTTGTTGCTTAATATATTTAGAAATTATCTGATTGGCATCAACAATTTCCATCTTTTTATCCCTATTTAACACGGAAATAAATGCATTATAAGGCTTCAAATCAATAATAAAAGATACTAGCCAGTTGGATCTCGAAGTACTAAATTCACTTACTTGTCTAAAGACAACATTTTCACGAATTATGAATGAATTATTACAGCCCGGAAAACGAAAATGGGTAGGAGTGTCATCTTGGTCCTTCAATTAAAGAAGACCGCAAAATAAAATATTTAAAAAATCTAATTATATACAATGAAAACACTTGAAGCTTACTTAATCATGCCAATTATAATCGTAAGTACTTATTTTAAATTAGCATTAGGATCTTTGTTGGTATTAGAATTAATTATCGTGATATCAACAACATCAATATTTATGCTTTGTTGAACATAATTATCAAGACATGTCTCTAACGTATCATCACGGCACGTTTCTAATTGATTATTAAGGCGGGTTATTCGCATATGTTTCAGATGCCTCTCGATCTCTGTTTCTAATTCCGTGGGCGGGATATGGCCTTCGTCAGACGAATCAGCAATATTGGTGGGTGATATCAAAGGGTTTAGTTCAAGAACATTTGCATCGTCCATATCATCATCTGAAGAATCGTCAGGTCCATTGGTTACATCTCTACAGCATGATATTTTGTTGTTGATCCACCTAACTGATTTTGGTTGATGTGTATATAAACGGGGTCTCCCAACTTCAAAGGCAATGGCCTTACTATTTTTATCCACATATTGAGTCTATGGCGACGTTTAGCGTTTTAAGAGTTTTTATGAACTGACAAAAAAGCGTTATGCTGATTTTCAAGCGCAATTTGATTGAATTCCTCTTCTAAATATTTCCTCGTGGTTTCAGTAAATTATCAATCGGTAAAACTACAGCTCTATTATATAATACATATAAAGGTGAACGTTTTCAAGATCCACTAATATGAAACCTAATAGCAGCCAATATAAATCCAGTGTATTTAAATTATTTTCTAACTTTTTGGAAAGCACCCAGAGGACCCGGAGAAAACCTACACCAGTCCAAGAATGATATGATATATTTATTGCCCCAGAGTGATAATGGATAAGGTCCAGCTAATGTGTGACGCATAATTCGATTTTCATTTTCGCTCCCATTATCCGTGACCAATTGTAACCATATACCATATCTAGGAAAGATTTCGTCGATTAATAAATGAGCTTCTTTATCAGCAAATACCATATCTAGGAAAGATTTTGTCGATTACTACATGAAATACGTTATCAGCACTTTTATCCTCGACAGCATTTCAGGCCATCCATTATATGAGCCAAGAATGATATGATATATTTATTACCCAGGAGGGATAAAGAATAGGGTCCAGACTAATCAAGTGAAACTTTAGCAATTGGGTATGGTGGGATATTGGTTTCTTGTAATGGAGTTTTAACTTTCTTTGATGAACGCTTTTGTCAGGTTACGCAACTGGGCACATACTGATAAATGTGTTTATATAAATTGGGCAAATAACACTTTTTGTTTTATAAAACTTAGTTTTATCTATACCGAAGTCTCTAATACATCAAACCGTAAATGATCTGGTACAAATAATCTAGGATTCTGGTCATCTTTGGGATGAGAAATTTAATATAAGACATCTTGTATTAATAAGTATTTCTTATTATTTGCACACTGTTTATTACTTCTTAACGATGCGATTATATTGATAATTTCCTTATCTTTAACCTGTTGCTCCATCATGTTATACATAAGGTCTGCTATTGGGTCAACTGGCTTATTTCCATTCCCCAGTTGTACGTGACAAAAAGGGTCGTCTGTCTAACTTCCTGGGTCTTCTTCAGCCCCCCCCCCCCACACACACGCACAAACACACACCGCTCAAGGCCCTATGCGCAAGCGAATTAATGATAAAATTGAACCATATGTTAGTCCCGAAGTGACCTAGTTTGTGTCAAGAGGAAGTTATCGTTTACGTCTGAAATAAGTAGTGCTTCCTCCTGGAATTGAGTTGGCATTAGGAAATCAGCTTTAACATATTGTTTACCCGATAAATATTCAATCTTACAATTATAAGCACTTATTGTTGAAGACCACATTCTAAGTTTTTTTTTTTATTATTGATCGGTGAATCAAGTAAATATTTTAATGGTTTATAACCCTATCGATGTTTCAAAACCTTGTGTTTGGCCGTTCTGAAAAGTTTGCATATCACTGTCGCCGAGTGACTGAATGTACGTGGCAAAAATGAAACGAAATGAAAGTAGAATTTTAATTGAACTTTCTATATAAAATGTGTATTATATCTTTAATTTCAGAACCAGAATTTCATCACAGCCATCCCTCCATGGCTTCAGTAGCTTCGGATTTTGATATTCTGAAAACAGTTTTAGATTCTATACCAGAATTGAAACCCTATATTTTAGCAGGCGGTGACTTTACCACCCGTAAAGATATAGATGGGTAGGAAATGTATATTAAAAATTTTAATCAGTAATGGGGCTGATTAGTTTTAACTAGCATGCCCCATATCTGCATGTACTAAAAACTTTACTCACATTTTAGTCGTGCCCCACCCCGCCCACAGTACACAGTATATGTAGCCATTAGTCTCAAAAGTTTTCGCAGTTTTATGAAGTTTGTCAAAACAACGTTCTATTATGACGATTGGCTGCCAGGAAATATTTTGTGTGTATCAGATTATCGTATGCCTAATAACCATGAACAATCCTATACCATTATCGACAATCTGATTAGGCAAGAAGACTACGTAATTTCAATGCTGACTTCAAACAGGTGTTAATGTCGTACAGAAAACGCATAAAGTGGTTGTAATCTATTCTTCTATGTAAAAACTCACACAGTATAGACTGAGGTCAGTGGTGTTTTATCCCACTTTCTGTTCTATCTCCCATAAAGAGTGCCAGGAACTCTTAGCTACGGTGTTAATGGACTTTTCTTATTCAGGCGGCACACTACTCGCCCCAACCCACACTGCCTGATGCATGACAAGATGCCAAACACTTAGTTGTTGGTATCAGGTGCTCCATGGGTGCAGACTGACTGCATACTATTCCTCACGCATGTTATAAAGCATACCCTACAGTTTTCTAGTCTGATTATACTTTAACCTTTTTTTGTATTACGGTTTTCATTGAACTCTAATATTAGTCAATCTAGTTGGTTAAAATCATTGTAGTCAAACCTGCTGTTCACTGGCTAGATGCAATTCAGTTCGGGGGAATTGCAGTTAACATTTAAAAAAGTATAACGTTAAACTCAGATTTTACTGACCATTAGCACACTTTCTTGTTGATAATTGCCTGTTACACACTCAATCTAATTAAAATAGATCTATATTTCGCTTTGTGTTTTGATAGCCTCTACTACATGCAGTTCTGGCCGGTTGTAGTGGAAGGTCTCGTCAGAGGTCATTCAAGGGCCTTTTGGCCTTATGACCTCAAACATTTGATTCACCAGTCAGCGCTGATGTTGCTAGTGGGTTACCAACAGTTCCGTGCATAGCACGCCAAAAACTAATGGCTAACCCCTCACAGCATTCAGATCGCGGGTTATATAATACCTCTTTGTAGTAGTAAAGACGAGTAAAATGAAGTTTTGAACTATATATATAAAAAACGAAACGAAATAGGATCTGTATTTTAATCTTATTGGTTACACACTGCACTTTTTTTTAAATTCAGTTTTCTTAAAGGCGGCGCCGTCCATACTGTAGATGCCGTTACATTCCACCAGTAAGTTGTTACATATCGGTCTTCATTTTAATCCTCAAGTACCTGATAAATGTAGATTAAGCGTTGCGTTTTCGTGATACCCTTTTACAGATCGTGCATTTTATGTTTTATGTCTTTTATTCCATCTATCATCTAGATGTATTAATCTCCTAATAGTTACTTTGAAGTTTATGCTATTTTAATCCAACTCAAAAGAAAAGTATTAAATTACTCTTCTAATAATTTTTTGTAGCTACTATATGAACGGAAAAACTGCTCAACTGGACGATTTCTACAGCTTACATAAACTTGGTACTTACGAAGGTAATGTAGAATCGGCAGTTGCGACATCTAAGAACTATGAAAATAAGCCCATCTGGTTAGGAGAAACATCTTCCGGTTATGGTGGAGGAACGCCAAATTTGGCTGACCGATATGTAGCCGGTTTCATGTACGTTCGTAATAAAATTCTTACGTTTCACTTAAGTAATGTTCTCAAATTTCTTTTGAATAGCAACTTTAAACTGGTTTCGATAATCATCGAATGTGGTGGCTCTACACCGTGTGGTAAAGAACCAAATCACCATGTGCGGCGGTTTAGATGATATTGTAACCTGAACAATTGTCTGTGAATTGTTATAAACTTTCGGGTTTTCTTTCACTCACAGGACTACGCAATAAACACATACATAAAGGGAAATGCGCTTTACATCTGGTTTTAAAACAAAATGGAGAGTAGTATCCATTTAAATGGGATATTGAAAAAGATTTAGAATACTCAAAAAGTATGTGGGTATTAGAATGCCAGTATTACATTTTCCTCTTCAAAACAAGCCGAAGTATCTGCGTAAAAATAAGAAAATAAAGTTTTCGTATGGTACTGACTAAAACAGTGTAAACGAAAGATACATGGCAGAAATTTCATTTTAAAAGAAATATGCAATGTCTAAGTACACCTATATAGAACGCAGTTATGAGAAATCAGTGAACCATATTAATGTAGTTTTCACTTTCCTATAAAAGCGGATCTGATAATGCATATATTTCATTTAGGTGGTTAGATAAACTTGGGGTATCAGCATCTAGAGGAATAAAGGGCGTTTTCAGACAAACGTTTGTTGGCAGTAGCTACGCTATGGTATCAGACAGCAACAATCCAAATCCTGTGAGTTCATGGATTAATATATGGTTGACATTTATTTCATGGGGTGGGGTGGGGGCTAGCAACGAATGTGTAGTCGTTCGGATTGAATTAAAAACCTGGTACAATATACCACTAAACATAGTAATAATAATAATAATTTATTCTTATATAGCGCATTACAATATACAAATACCTCAATGGGCTTTACATTGTTGTGCGTGAAAGTTGAAGTAAATTACTTCAAGATTGTTAAACATTAAAGATTTTTTAATAAAAAGTAATTCATTCCAAGACTTCGGTGAGCGGTATATATACATAAATGCTCTATCCCCATATGTTTTCTTAGACTTCATATAGTTGGCAAGTTGAGTCTGATAGCTTTAGATGATCTTGTTTAGCGTTCCCGTGTTTGGATGCAAAGGGGTTCATTTAAATAAACGGCAGCGGAAGGGTATAAAATTAATCTTGTTTAGCGTTCCCGTGTTTGGATGCAAAGGGGTTCATTTAAATAAACGGCAGCGGAAGGGTCGAAAACTAATTTAAAAGTTAAACATAAAATTTTAAAGCGACATCTTTTGTACAATGGGAAGCCAGTGTAGGTCGCGATGAACGGGGGTGATGTTTTCACGGAGACATGCTGCATAATTTTGAATTCCTTGTAGTCCTGCGAGCTGTTGCCAAGGAGCTAATCTAGAAGTTACGAAAGCATGAACTAATTCCACAGCAGTAAACTGATGCAAGCGTTGTCGCTATAAGCCATACATAGCCACACTGTAGACACTGGAAATTTGTGATACCTTCATTCCATCTGTTAAAGGATCACTTCTAAGTCAAGAACGGAGTCCAAGGGGTTGATCTCCGTGATGCTATATCCATAGTTATTCATGTGAACTTAACAATAATACTTAACGGGAGCTTTGCAAAAAGGGTTTTATACTCTGCTGGAAAAAAAGAGGGTAGTAGATAGTTTAGATAAGTTATAATCAGTACATCTGCCAGTTGCATAAACTTTATTTTAGATCTAGTTTTCAGCAGTCACAGACTCATTTGTTTGAACAACAAGAGTGTCCAAAGTGTCTGTACAATTCAGTAATTCCACGATAAACAACTTGTTGTACTTAACAGGATTATTGGTTGACAGTTTTATATAAAAGATTGGTTGGTAGCCCAGTGTTGACACCACCAAATACAAACAGTCGTAATATCAGAATGTACGCTCATTGTACTAATAGGAACAGGTAATTGTTTTGTTTTCGATACATTAAGATCTGTTTTTGTGATAAAATAATACTTGTTAAAAGTGAAAAGATTCTTTGGTTTGCACAGTTGAGAAAAAAATCCAGAATAAAGCCCTGTCGATAGTGTTGTGCCATTTAATTACAAGTCTGTCTTTTATGTGTAACTATATTTCAGCTCTGAACATGGGTCTCATTACACTCGCTCAGTACGTTCACGAACTGTCCTGTTGAATCCTTGTCGAAAAAGAATCGGCCTCCAGTCAATTTTACTGGGCAACCTTTTATTGCTAAACGGGCGTGTGTCAATCTCTGTGAACGTAAGAATATAAGACCTTGCTTACCTCGCTAGAGTCAGTATGTATAAGACGAAACGAAATTTAGGTTAGCAGGTGAAACAAAATTGGGAATTTTGATAAAATTCGGTTGTAATTGGGTTAGGAAATGACGAAGATTCTCAACTAGTCGAAGATTACACTCCCCCCCCCCCAGCTTAGCTTAATTTCGTTTCGTCATATATGGCCGAGTTACATAAATTTGTGAGTTACCCCATATTTAGATTTGAATGACTTCTGCAAAACCGTTTAGCAGAAGGAGACGTATTTTTTTTAAATGTGGTGTTGCACATTTTGTTACTCCTAAATCTGGTTTCTGTTTTTAGTGATTATAACTACCCAGCTGGCAGTGTTACTGTTTATATGTTAAATGTTGGAAACACATCAGTAACAGTTAACCTGGGACACAACCATCATATAGATCTGTATATCTTAACACCTGGATCTAAAGGAGGACTCGCATCACAGTATGGATATGTTTATTTCCTTTCTGAAGAAAATATAACCTAAAGCAAAACACCAGAAAATTAAAATAATATTATTGTCTTGTTGGAACTTAGCTTCAATAAATAAAAGCCGTTGATAATCAAATTAGTAGGGCCCATTTCACGTTATACGCCTTTGTGTTTCTTTTCCGAGTTGTTGCTAATGCTTTCGGATTCCTATGCGTTATATTAAAAACAACGCTGCCCATTTTCATTAATTTCAAATTCTCTACGTGTCTGCACGAAAGCGTTGAAAGTAACTAATTGATCAAGCTGAATACCAAGCTCGTGTCAATGACGTGCGCCACATCGAGCGAGTAACATGTAACCAAAAATGTTGATTTCAACAACTGTTTTGGGAGAGAATTGCTTCACACGCACGGACCTGTTGTGTGATCTTATCAAAGTCTTCGCTCCACTTATGGAAGCATGCCGCTATTTCAGACTCCATATTTGACTTGCTAATGAATTTGTCAACTGAACGCTACATGGTAACATTATTTATTTTTTAAATACAGCAATTCGACTTGATGTAATTGTTTAATGTGTTTACTGTCTACACATGTTACGCATGCTTTTTCAGGACTGTGAAATTAAATGGAAAGGAACTGTTTCTTGACCACGATGATCACTTACCTCCACTACCCGGATATAAAAAATGGGGTGACGTAACCCTTGAAGGACATAGGTTTGGTTTTGTTGTTCTACCTTCAGCCCAAGCCTCGGCTTGCAAATAAGCGTAACTTCTAATAAAGTGGGCACCATTTATTTTAACTGTTTTTGACATTTCATTATTTTGGATTGGAATTCTTTAAAGAGAAATTAGAATGGGTGGTTGCACGTGATCATGGTTCATTTATTTGGAAGTTGGAGAGCAAGGGCATTAATATTTCCTTGTTTAAATCTCATCTACCCGACAAGATTCGTCAATGTAGTCGACGAAATGAGGGGTTATTTTGTCGTGTTCGCGGGTTGATTTTGTCGACTTGTCGCCTTCTTCACAAGGCGACGATTTAGATTCATTTGAATAGTCGCTAACAGCCACCATACATTAATCTCCATAGTCTTCCTGGTATAGTTTGTCAATGGCCAATATAGGATATGAAATGAGATGAAATAAAGGTTCATAGACCATTACATGTATGTAATCTGGCTATAATAAAATTTAGCCTTTCATTAATTTACAATGTCTTCCTGGTATAATTTGACAATAGAACCATACAGAAGTGAAGAGATTAATAAAATGTCAATAGATCGATTAAGTAATTAGGCTGTAAATTTATTTATGTCCATCTTATTCTGTAATATATACACTCCATCATATTTCGCCACAAAAGGCAATTCTGTGCACAAAGTTTTCAGACAGTTTGATAATTAAAAACGTTAACATTATATGAAAGGCAACTTGAAAAAAAATATCAGATAAAGCAGTACAATACACGATAAAAAGAATTTGCCTTAAGGATACAATTAAAAGCCATTACTGATATTGTATGTAATTCTTCACCCATAAAGTAAATATATAAATAATTTACTTACATAAATGATTAAAAATTAATCTCCTTTGTACTAACTCTTCTCTATTGAAGTACATCCGTTTTAAAAAAAACCCGCATTTGTAGTTTTCATACAAACAAATATTCCCCTAACAAGCGCAAGCATCCCCAAACTGAAGCATATTATAGGAGCATAATGTAAGATTTAGACACAGGGCTGGCCGTTTTCGCTATAATATTTTAAAAGTAGATAATGCAAAATGATTATATTGAAAATTTCATTCAAACTACTTTATTCTGAGCCAAGTTATCCATGTTTGCAGTTTTGACAACATGTGTGCATTGATCGTAATCACAGTACTGTTCATTCGAGTCTTGGCCTCGCTTGTCCATTTTTAAATTAAATTATTAAATGGCCGAACCGGTCTATTCTACTTAAAATCGGAGCCATCCGATGGCGTCGAGAGATGACTATGGTCTTTTCATGCTAATGATTGTCTAATTAATAATTTGTATAACATTTAAGGCCCATAGAAAGACCTGCAATAGGCAGATTTAGCACTTACATAACCTTATCCAAATTCAAAGTCTCGCGTTCTAAATATCTAAATATCACTTTTCAATTTAAAAGTTTCCGCAGGCAATACGAAACAGGATCATGGCAACGTTATAGATATATTTGTTTCAAAGTCGTGGGGATTTATTTTGGAGAACGAGGAACACTACCGTTATTAGTTTTGACTTTTAAACGTTTTGCTGCTGTTATATTAAGAAGTATTTGATTGACGAGACAATTTTCATTGCTTTCCCGTAATAATGTGTTAGCACAGTGTTATCTTCAATATGTATATATATATACAGTGAATCAATTGAAATACAAGAGTAAGAACTATGGGAGAAGTGATATATTTCAGATATAATACATATTTTTGCGCACTAGTTTTCAAAGAAGCAATGTTGTTTAAATGCCAAAGAAACACAGAACAATAAAACAAAATGGACGGTATATAAAAGCAACGATTAGCTCCGTGAAACCATCACAAATTATAACTCTCACAGTAAACGCAGTGGGACGAGGCGTGTGGGCCTATATTACGCGAATTAAACATTTTATCAGATAAAGTATACGTTTGTACCAAAAACAGAGAGCGCTCGAGAAACTAAGTGACGGTCTCGAGATAATTAAGTCGTTCATGCGGTATAATACAATCGGACGGGTCCGATCCATCTCCGCTTTATGTGGGGGACGAGGCGGGACGAGGCGTGTGGGCCTATATTACGCGAATTAAACATTTTATCAGATAAAGTATACGTTTGTACCAAAAACGGCGAGCGCTCGAGAAACTAAGTGACGGTCTCGAGATAATTAAGTCGTTCATGCGGTATAATACAATCGGACGGGTCCGATCCATCTCCGCTTTATGTGGGGGTAAACAGTCATGTTATCCAATGATTTTATTTTCCCAAATTATCTTGATCGATCGACTTAGTATAAGTATAACCAGGCTTATATATATAACGTTCAGCTCAGCAACAATCTGCTTCCCTGGGAAACTAATAGGTGCCGAGTCGGAAGTCCGTCAACGATTTAATGAAATGTGGTTAAAGGACAATATTGGTGCCAGTCATTATCACATATGTGTTAGAGCTGGTTAAAAACATTCCAAATATATTTTTAACACAGAGATCATTGCTACGATAGGTGAGTAATACAGGTTCCCCGTATCGGAAGTGACGAACGCCAAAGGAAAACACGGGTCGCTGCTCTTTATAACGGACTGAAGCGACGAGTGATAACAGATACACGGCCGAATTTCTAATCACTAATTATTCCTTCCAAGACCAAAAGTTGTTATATGGGACTGTAAGAGAATATCTGACAATTCAATAAAGTAATTGAATGTCATTAGATAAGAGAACACGAGAAAAATAGAAATAGTCCGTACATTTCCTTGTTAAGCTTTCATATTACATATGAAAGCTTATTGTTTCTGTTAAGATTATTATTGTTATTTTTTTTTTGTGTTTTGTCCACAAATCGGATTTCTCAGAATCTAACCATAGGATCGTTCTGAAACTTTTACCTATCCCCCCAAAAATTGGTGGTGGCTGTTGATTAAATATATTTTCAAAACGTTTTACGAATCCGAAATCACCGAATTTTACGAAGGAATGCATTTGACCTACAATGCTGTAACTCTGTGACTATTTGACCTATTTTACTAATTCTTTTTTCTTTGAGTATCTTGAAACATTTACTTCAAATCTGCAATTTCGGATTTTTTCATTTCGAAAATTCGTCGCTGTCATTTCGAACCGGAAGTTATTACCAATTTGACAACTTCTTTAATAGTTGTGCGATTTTCGTGAAATTTAGAATGTTAGTAGATCTTGCCAATGCGACTTCAATGATGTCCTTGGAAATTTTCTAAATTATCTCCCCTTGGTGAAATTAAGGATCAAAGTTTTCAAAAAAATCGTCGAAATATAGGTCAGATTGACCTAAAAAAAAAATTCGATACTAGACAAGTAATTACTGATTCGTACACAAAATATGGAGTTTGTTGATCGAACCGGAAGTGCCACCATCTTTAAACGTGAAAAATCAAAAAGGCTTTTTTGCTATTTTACTTACAGACTCGGGCGTCATATTTTCGGAATCCTGGAAGGAATACCTAAAAATCTATCGGATCAGAATTTTGATTTCGGTCACGTGATGGTCACCATTTTGAATTGAAAATGAAAAATAGAAGCAATTTGAAGGGCCGGGACTTTGGAACACAAGAACTCTCCTTCTAATTAAGCTAGAATGTTCAAACTTGGTGTAGGCGTTCACTAGGTCAATGTCATGATTGAGTTCAAAGATGAGCATTTTTTGCCTAGGGTAAGCAGAGATAAGCAAGCTGATTTGTTGATTCTTTAGGGCACGATGACATTGGTTATAATGAATGGAGGGCGATGAAACTCTTGTCAATCGAGAGGCTAATAGCTGGCCTGTTGTGTGAAATCATTGTATCATTTTTTATTCGAATTTCTCCTTTGATGTTTTCCGTGCCGACAAGGTTGTTTTCGAGTTTAGCTGGATTTGACTTCGCGCATGCGCTACGCTGGAACCAAAGGTACCATGAGTACTAAATTCCGGCGAGCAACTTTTCACGTTGGTACCTAGGTACCCTGAAAATTTCAAGGTGATACCTGCATTCGTTCAAGTCGTTTGTTCTTGTCACCTGCCTTTCGTCGTTTTTTTTTTCTAAGTCAATTTACGGCTTCCATGAGGGGAAAAAAGTGGAATTTCGCCGTGACACCGGCACCGATTGTCCGAAAACCATGAAATTTGGACACAATACGCCCATTACCACCCCGGACTCTGTGCTTTACCCCCATTTTGATCCCATTAAAAAAAAAGAGTTTTAGCAAAAAAACGATTTTCGGAATTTAATATTGGTTTTAACCCTGTAATACCCAGACATGATATATTATTATAATCCCTATGATATATTTTAATTATTTACTGCTATTATATGAATTATCACTTATTCCCCGTTAAATAAATATCGGTCACCTGGTGCCGCTGTACAACTTAAAGGACACTGGCCTCAAGTCAATTTACGGAGAGAGAGAGAGAGAGAGAGAGAAATGGGGTTTAACGTCCACTCGACACAAACTAGGTCATTTCGGGACCAACATATGGTTTAATTTTATTTCAATAATTCGCTTGCGCGTAGGGGTCTTTAGCAGTGGGAGGAAACCGGAGGACCCGGAGAAAACCCACAAGGTTGGACAGGCGACCCTACTCCTTGCGTCAATTTACGGCTTCCATGAGGGGAAAAAAGTTCTTGTCACCTGCCTTTCGTCGTTTTTTTTTTCTAAGTCAATTTACGGCTTCCATGAGGGGAAAAAAGTGGAATTTCGCCGTGACACCGGCACCGATTGTCCGAAAACCATGAAATTTGGACACAATACGTCCATTACCACCCCGGACTCTGTGCCTTACCCCCATTTTGATCCCATTAAAAAAAAAGAGTTTTAGCAAAAAACGATTTTCGGAATTTAATATTGGTTTTAACCCTGTACCCAGACAAGATATAGATATTATTATAATCCCTATGAAATATTTTAATTATTTACTGCTATAATATGAATTATCACTTATTCCCCGTTAAATAAATATCGGTCACCGGGTGCAGCTGT